ACATTCGGAATATCAAAAGAGGTCTACCTACGCACAACCTATCAAAGCACTTTAAGGAGGTACATCGCGGAGACCCTACTGGTCTGGAATTTTTAGCTATTGAAAAAGTTGACACACACTGGAGGGGAGGGGATCTTGAAAAAAACTTATACCAAACAGAAGCCAAATGGATATTCTCCATCAACACTTTAGTACCGAAGAGGCTGAATGTAGACTTCGAACTTAATGCTTTTTTACGATAGTTCCTCCAGTTCTGTTTTCATCTTGCTTTTATTTGGTTCAATATTAGTCGTTTTATATACCAATGACCTTGTTTATATCCATATTTTAATTTTAATTTTATTTCACAATATTTTATACATTTTTATCCATATTTCTATTTTTAGCTTTTTATTCTTATTTTTAACCACTACTGATATTTTTATCTCCATGTACTCCATCTCTCCTTCATTTTTATTCTCTTATTATGACGTCCTCCTACTTTTTATTATCACATAGAGGAATGTTTCTCCTTTTGATTAGGTTTTTATTAGGTTCTCCCTTATACATCATTCCAACTTCTTTCAACAATTAGTTTTTTCCTCCTTATATAATATATAAAAAACATATTTACAATATACCACATCTGTCTGGTCCAGTTGAAGTGTTCTTAATATTTTAATATTTTTCTGTACAAATATCCATCGCAATTTCTACACAACAATGTGTCATTCTAAATGCAGGTTACAAGATGTTCATTTATGTTGCGATCTCTACATAAAAAGATGACAGAGTCTGAAAAACTAACAAATTTAAACCAAAGGATCGTCCACAACTATTTTCATGCTCAATTAGGATTTTATGCTACCAAGAAGATGTATATTTCTTTTCTTATCTGGTTGTAGTCCTTCAATAAACATTCACTTACATCTCTTATTTCTCACCATAATTTATGTTTCCACTTTTGGTTTATTCTAATTCCATATTGCTCTCCATTTCAGGATCACACCATATCCTTACATAATTTTATTTCCACTACCTTACCCACTACCAAGTCAGTGATGCGTCAAACAAGAAAGGTGATAAATAAAACTAGCTGTAAGATCTACCCATTTATTGATTATTCTAAAAGTCATCTCCGATATTTTTAAAATAGTATATAATATACGAAATTAAGGACTAAGTTGATCATAAACTATCATAATGTTTATGTATGTCTTTCCTTCCTCTGATTAACACACATCTCTGTATCTCATGCGGTTTTCTAAAATTAGTAATCCTTATAAAACAACATAAGGATTCCAAATGCAATGTATTACGCATTGCAAGAAAATTAAGACACATACAACCACATAAAACAATTCAATGTTTAATTATATACTAATCAATGTTTATTTAAATACAAATTCTATTAATTGATTAGGTTTATTTTTTTATACTATTTCCGATATGAATTTATATTTTATTTTATTTTTGAATTTCTACAATGTATTATAAGAATGCGAAATTATTCATTATAAGGAAATTAAGACACATATTGTTATAATGGAAAATGCAATGTTCATTTGTATATATACTGATTCACTCTGATTGTTCATTTATCATTTGAAACGTATATTACAATTTCTTATACCATTTTATGTTTATTTCTGCTAGAGATATACTGTTATCATTTCCATGTCACTTGCAATGAAAGGGTTAATAACAAGCTTGGTTAAACATATACTGTATTGACAGCTGATTAAGCTCACAATTAACAACTTCAGCATTAGCATATATTTATACTGTTGAATACACTGAAAATCACAAAACAGATGAAGTAGGGCTACCCTACGATACGCGTAAGGCATTCCACAAGGTTGAATCTGGGAGGAGGAACAATAGTCTTTGCAAGCATCCCTGACGATCAAAGTATTCTGGACCCAGTACCTTCTTCGTGAGACCACAACCCACTCCTCGATGTGAGGTCGGAGGTGGAGAATAGGGTAACTCACACACGGTCCTCACTGGCTACGAGGATACAGAGGAGCAAATACACCAACTCAATCCATATCCATCCGGGTCTGGACTGCAGGTTTTTTGCTATTTTTCATCTGATATCTATTAGACTATCCACCTACCTTATCACCGTTATTTTTATATTTGAATATATTTTATTATATTTTTTCATATTCTAATAAATTTACTATTTTTACTCATCAATTCCCTTTCTAAGTGACTATCTTCAAGAATTGTGATACTATCACAAGTTTTTGAGCATTTAGTTCTCTGTACTAAATTGCTCATCATATCATATTTGGATTATTATTTTATCTACTATTTCCATAGGTAGATTAAGTCATAAGTGCTTTTTTAACCCTGCGTTGTGACCACAAGCTTGGTCTAAGCCACTTATGCTAAATTATTGTTTAACTGATCAGATATTGAATGTGGACTTTTAATTAATTTCCAACTACTTTGGATTATAGTTTTGGACTTATTTATTTATTGGACTGGTATTTCTATATTCTGTTTTTTATATTCTGGTTCCATATATTCAGATTTTTATTTAAATTTTCCTTACATATTTTGGTATCTTAACCAACACAAACAGCAGTACAACCAGATATTATTGTTTTATGTCATCTGTGTCCTATTGCATAAAAATGCTCTCCAATTTAGGTTGAACCTGCTTTTATAAATACTCCTACTACTATTCAAGGTCATATCTAATTTTAGTTCTATTTGTATATCAATTCTTATTCTTACTGTTCTTACTGTTCTAGCTCCTGGAGACTCACACTCTATCAGTGCACTCTTTTCTTATCTATAGGATTTGGTGAAATCCTCATCTTCCAGTTTTTAAACTAACACATTCTCAATTCTTACTCCCTCTATACCCTCTGTCATACTCACTTTTGTGAATACCAGAACCCTGTACCTGATACATAAACTGCCTGGGTGGAGTCTGGTCTCGGACTCTTATAGTAATAACGAAGGACATTTACCATTTATAACTTCCACACAAGGTTACTCTCCGACCAGATATCCCTCAAGAGATCACCCAAAACTTGGACTGGGTTTCGTGCCAGCGACTGGCAATGTGACACCTTGGTATACTATAATACTAATGGATTGGCTTCTGGACATCAATGCGAACAGGATGCATGTCTTCATTTCTGGACTTTCCACTGCCCCTTCCATTGTCTTCCATTTTACTGAAAAACCCACAAGATACCATCGGAGACTTTGGCGGCTCACATTCCACTTCAGGACCTTTCGTATGTTGTGGGGCATCATACTATCCAGAACCAGTATCAATATACACTCGGTTATGGGTTAAAGATGTGGTTCTTTATTCCCTGCTGGTTTGGCCAGCTGTTTTGCATCTTCACTTCAACAAACTCTTGGGGAAGCTCATACTACTTTCACGTTATGTGGCGGTGTCTACACCTCTTCGGCCTTCACAATCGAGCCAGCCTCTCTTTTTGTATACCATACCTTTCATACCAGTTACGGCCGCCACTTTACCCAGGTGGGTACGTTGGCTATTGTTCATATGTTTGTGGAGATCGGTTTTATCGGTCTTTTGGGGCATGGATGCATCTCGGGCATCCACGGCGCATGTTTTCTTTGCCGATATTCATCAGTATGGTCGCGGGAAGAGACTTTCAGCGTATTTTACTTCATCAGACTCTTCACGCATTGTAACGGACCGTTTTGCCCACAAGAGGTTAAAAAACGTTTAGGCGATATTCCCCTTTCAGATGCCCAGACAGCTATTGCAATCACCAATCTCCCGAACTGCAAACTACATGAATTCTCCAACTCCCGAACAGGAAACACACGAATACTGGAAATAGAGATGTCGCGAACCGTCCGCGAACTTCTCGCGAACGGTTCGCCACGAGCTGTTCGCGGCGAACTCCGGTCAGCTGACACGTCCCGGCCAATCTCCAGCAGACCCTCCCAGACCCTCCTACTTCCTGGACAGCATCCATGTTTAATTTTTTTGATGCTGTCCAGGAAGTAGGAGGGTCTGGGAGGGAGGGTCTTCTGGAGATTGGCCGGGACGTGTCAGCTGACCGGAGTTCGCCGCGAACAGCTCGTGGCGAACCGTTCGCGAGAAGTTCGCGGACGGTTCGCGACATCTCTAACTGGAAACAGCTGAACAGGAAAAACCATACGAAAGGTTTACACTCCTGGCAGTCAGCATACAATCCAATTCCCCCAATAATGAGATGACATTTCATTTGAGGGTTAAGCAGAATATATCTTTACTGGCACCCTTCTTTTATGCAGGTTTTCCTTAGATAGGACCACCCACAGGGTTTTACAAAACAACCAATCATACACGTATTTTACAGAAACACTCCCAGCAATTACATACAAAATCCTCCCCCTCTGCCTGTGATATAATTATGTTACACAATGGTTTAACATAATTAACACAGGCAGGAAAAATACAGTTTTTATACATATCCTATAACTTTAAAACCATACATCCAATCTTCATAAAAATATTTAGAATCAGCAACCTTCAAATATAAACATAACCAAAAATCATCCAAATCCATCTAGGGGTTAAAAAGTTAGCTGGAGGTCCCTTTATGACCGACCACAAGCACATTTTCCTGCCCAAAACAGTTCCATAGATTTGGACTGTGCAGAGAGGAGCAATTGGTTTCCTCCTGCATTATTAGCAGTGGGTGGGGGCTGAGGGAGATACTAGGATTATAAAGACCTTACTCGCCTGTAATTCATTAAAAGTTGCTGTTTTTTAACTGTTAACCCCAAACTGGGGGCTGGAGGGGGAGCAATAGGTTTGCCACCTCATTATTACTTAGTGACCCCACAATGGCTATCTGGGAGCATGACTGGTATGAGTTGTAAGACAGTATACGCTTATTGCAAGATTATTATGAGAATGCTAAGCAATTAAACAATTAAAAGTGATTGAACAATTAACAATTGAACAATGTTAGTAAGTCTCGGTTTAGGAGACTGCATTATGGTCTGGATAGTGTTTGTTGTGGCAAAGGCTAAAGGCACGGACCTCTGTTTTTCGCGGCTTGTGGCATCCCTTTCTGCCTATACCCAGCATAGGGAAGGGCGTTATGGGTGCGAAGGAATCCTGCTGCGGTATAGCAAGGTGTAGCGTTGCGAGTTCCAGTGGCTGTCTCGTCTGCCTGTCGCTGTCGAGGCTTGCATTGGTGTTGCAGGTAAATAGTGTCCCTGTCTGGGGCTCTGGGGTTTTCCGTGGCATGGACAGGGTTCGGTGCCATGCGGGAAGCTTGCCTTTTGGTGGTTGTGTTGCGATTCTCGATTTCCTGCAGGATCTGGGGGGAGCCTGTATGCCCCTTTGAGCTGGTATTGCTGCTTAGTTCCATCTCGTCTGTTTGCGAGCAAGCGGGGTAGATCTCCGTCTTCGGCGCCATCTCTTAGATCTTGTTGAGCGGAGGCCAGCGCGGCTGTGGCGGGGACGTGCAGGTTTTTCACAGGGCGAGTGTGCCTGTGCGTAGGTCTGCCGCTCTCTGCTTGCCAGTTTTGCTCAAAAGGCATCGAATATGGCATCAAGCTTTGTCAGGGTATGGTGCCTTGCTGAGTGGTAATTGCGGTCACATGTGGCGTCCGCCATTATGTGGGCCTGTGTAGCAAGGGGCTGCCTTTGGGGCTCCACCGTCAGTGCTCGTCGTAGCCCTGGTGCCTGGAGAGGCTGGACCGGGATCACCCCCACCGGTCCTGGGGGGGGGGCGGGAAGTCAGTGGCTCAGTACCTCCGGCGTAGGGGCGAGGAGAGCAGCTGTCTCCCCCCAGCTCCGTCCACCCCAGGCTGCAGCCTGCCTTCTGGGGTTCTCAATTGGGGGAAACACTCAAGTCTGGTATCGGGTGATTCACCAGGGTGTCCCCAGCTTGGGTAGCGTACCCTGGTAACATTTGAGGCATGAAATCCATGAGTATTTCCCTTTAAACAGCCTGTATAGTGGGAGCTCCTCCACCATGTGACTGCTCAGCTTGCAGGTCAGGCCCCTCCGCCTTAGAGGATTTAAAAAAAAAAACTTTTTACATGCCTCTACTCACGGCATAGCGAGTAGGGGCAGAAGGGAGGTTATAGTGTCCCTTGTTTACTAATACTAAGTATTTTTACTGAGTATTAGTAGAGTTGGCTGAAATACCAGTTTTAGTAGATAGCTCCCTAATACGTGTGGGATTTAGGGGGGCTATCTGCTAAACGGCTTCAAGATGTAGCCATGGCCCAGATCTAAATTTCATTGCCCAAATGAAATTCTGAACCAAAAGAATGACAGGATCTTCCCACTTTGCCATCAATAAATGGATGTAACTTGAGGCAAACTTTGGCCCCATAGTTGTGCCTTTTATTTGGTTATCATTTAAATTTAACTGAATTTCCTTAACCCCTTAATAACACAGATTCAGAAGCTTGTCTTAACGCTTAATGACACAAGCAATTTTTGCATTTTCTTGCTGTTTGCGTTCAACTGCAATTTGCATCTCTCTCGTTTATTGCACCGACACATATTGTATACTGTTTTTCAAAGGACAGAAAGGGCTTTAATTTGATGTAACATATATATATATATATATATATATATATATAAATGCTTATTTATTATAGAACAAATACAGAAACATGCAAAAAAAAGAAAAATTTTGTGTTTTTTTACAGTTTTTGCAATAATAATGTGTGCATAATTAGTGCAGGTTGAAGAAAGTAATTAAAAATAAATTAATTTAGTTGTTCTGATTTACAGAATATATAATGTGTCTGTGATTTTAAGTTTTTTTTTTTGGTAGTTACAGGTCACAAAGCACAAGAAGTAAAATAAACTTTTAATGTTGAGCGATTTTAGAATTTGGTATGTTTGTCTTTTAAGCTTAATAGCCATAAAAGAAAACAAATTACCACACAAAAATATATATTTATTTAAAGTAGATATCACAGGCTATTGTCCTTACATTGTTTTGACACTTTCTACGTAGCCATTTCACCACCAATCTCTGCTAAATATTGGAGTAAAATTGTGTTTTTGTTTGGTTTTCGGCACACAAACGTATAACAAAGCACTTCTTTGTAAAGTTAGTGTGTGCTATTCCTTTATTTTGTGTTCAGCTACATCTGCTGAGTACAACGATACCCCCATTGTATGTCTTTGGCACTATTTCGTGAAGCTACAGTGCTATATAGGAGACCTGTCCTTTTCAGTATTTACAGTAGAATTATGAGAGACGGATTTAATGGGCCTATGCTTCAATTTGGGGTATAATAGCAGTTTGACTGTTCAAAAAACCCCCACAAAGGCCTACCATTTGTAAAAGTAGACACTCCAGGGTATCTCATATAGTGCATATTGTGCCTTAACATGCCCCCATTTTTCACCAATATATGCCAAAGTATGTGTTAAAAAATAATTTTGGGCATTTTTTACATACGGATTACATTTTTGCTAGGCATTTTGTATATTTCATATGTGCCACTAAGTTCAAATCCCCCAAATTATGCTCAGCTAAGTCTTCTGAGTAAAACAATATGCCCAATGTATAACCTAGACACTATTTTGTGAAGTTACAGTGCTGTAAAAGAGACTTGACAAGTTCAGGCTTTTAAGTGTGAATTTTCATGGAGGGTTTTGATGTGTCCGTGTCCCACTTTGGAGCACTTGAGCAGGCTACATATTACAACTACATCATAAAGGCATACCATTTCTTAAAGAACACATCCCAGGGTATTTTGAAAGGCATATTTTGAACGTTAGCGTGGGATAATTTTTCCGCTAGCTTGTACCAAGTGTAGTGGTAATAAGTGTTGTTTTGCCTTTTTGACACACAAAGTGAGTTTGCACAGTATATTTTGCAAATCGTATGTGCTATGACTGTATAATACTTCATATGTTGCTCAGCTATGTCGACTGAGTACAGCAACACCCCCGTATGTACCTTTGCCAGGTGTATGTGGACATCGGAGGGGCACATTTGGGACAAAGCCATTCCAGTTTTTTTCAAACTTTAAATTTTTACGCTGCGCCCATGTCCCATTTTAGAGTATTTTACCAGGCTAAATAATCCAAATACCCCATAAAGCCATACCATTTCTTAAAGAAGACATCCCAGGGTATTTCAAAAGTCATTTTGAACCTTAGCGTGGGATAATTTTTCCGCTAGCTTGCACCAAGTGTAGTGGTAATAAGTGTTTTTTCTGCCTTTTTGACACACAAAGTGAGTTTGCACAGTATATTTTGCAAACCTTATGTGTGCTACGACTCTATAATACTTCATATGTTTCTCAGCTATGTCATCTGAGTACAGCGATACCCCCATATGTACCTTTGCCAGGTATATGTGGCCATGGAAGGGGCACATTTGAGACACAGCCATTCCATTTTTTTTCAAACTTTGAATTTTTACGCTGTGCCCATGTCCCATTTTAGAGTATTTTACCAGGCTATATAATCCAAATACCCCATAAAGCCATACCATTTCTTAAAGAAGACATCCCAGGTATTTCAAAAGGCATATTTTGAACATTAGGGTTGGATAATTTTTCCGCCAGCTTGTACCAAGTGTAGTGATAATAGGCATTTTTTCTGCCTTATTGACACACAAAGTGAGTTTGCACAGTATATTTTGCAAACCCTATGTGTGCTACGACTGTATAATACTACATATGTTGCTCGGCAAAGTCGTCTGAGTATAGCAATACCCCCGTATGTACCTTTGCCAGATATATGTGGATGTTGAAGGGGCACATTTGAGACGCAGCCATTCATTTTTTTAAAATAAATTTTAGGTTTTACGAACATGTGTCCATGTTCCATTTTGGAGTAGTTCAGATGGTTGGTTATTGAAACTTTCCCCACAAACACATAGTGCATTTTTTTAAATATATTTTTTTACTTTTTAAAACTTTTTAACTTTTTAAAACTAGTTTTTAAACTTTTTTTGCTTATTATTTTTTTTTAATTTTCCTAAACTTTCTTAACCTTTTTTTTTTACAGACTTAACATTTTTATAAGCTTTTTTTAACCGTTAACCCCTAACTAGCAGTAAGCAGCACTAACGGTAAATTCCCCAATTTCCCATAACTCCCACCCACCCCAGCTAGCAAAATATATCATTTTAAAATATTTAAATTAATTAATTATATAAACTGAACCCCTGAGGGTATAATATTGTGATCTGTATTTTGATCACTGTAGGTAGTGATCAACTGGCAGGGAAGGGGTTCATTTTTATTAGGACTAGGTAAAGGAGGGTGGGATTTCTTTTACTTTTTAAAAAATGTTATTAAAACTTTTTTTTAACTTTTTAAACTTTTTTTAATGCTAACCCCTAGTTAGCCTAACAACAAATTCCCCAATTTCCCACTAACTTCCACCCACCCCAGCTAGCTAAATATACTATTTTCATATATTTAAATTAATTAATAAAATAAAATTTGACTCTCAGGGGTTAAAAAAAAAAAAGCAGATCACAGTTAAATGTATACCCTTCCAATTGATCACTTTAGTCAGTGATCAATTGGCAGGGAAGGCATTAATTTTGTATTAAAATGGGTAAAGGGAGGTGGGATTTTAAATTAACTTTATTTTATTTTTTTAACAGGCACAAGATCAGGTCTGATCCGTCTCCCTGCACTTCACACAGAACCCGGAAGTGCAGGGAGGTGGAAGGTAAGTCTATGCAGCACATGTGCTCACTCTGACAGCCTGTCAGAGTGAGCACTGCTGCAGGGAGCACCGTTAAACCCGCGATCAGAAAGATCACGGCAATTTGGGGTTAATTTTAACGCATGATGGACGAGGTCCATCACCCGTCGTTAAGGGTCTCCCCTGGATGACGGACCTCGTCCGTCACCCTTTTGAAGGGGTTAATGATAAAATCTATTTGTTTTTTTTGAGTTTTGCTTCCTTTTATAAATACCTTCTAACTGATTTTCAACCTATATAATGAGGGATAATTGTGAAAAGGGAATGAGCATCCCTTGTAACAAAAATAAAATTAAGGGTCACAATTACAAATTTAAAGGTGCTGTAGTACAATCATACTGTCTTTTAAGTACAATGTTTTTTTTTTTTTTAACTGGTGGTTGAAGGAGAATGTCAATGATAGGTTTGATAGAATGGAATATATCCAGACTACTGGTAAGCTTAGTGGGTTAGTTTAATCTTTGTGTATCGGCAGAAAGTAAATTACTGGGATTGATGGATAGGGGATATCACTATTTTGGTATTCTTGCTTATTTAGAATTAGTTGGTCTTTGCAATCTTGAACTAGTTGTATTAGCAATTTTTTTGTTTTTTGTTTTTTTTTTCTCCAAAACTATTTTTATTGTGAATACATAATATGAAAATATGGCATAAATGACATCAATACCTTAAAGGCAGTCTTGTATTAGCAAGTTTTTAGGTTTTTTTTTCGAG